TAGAAAAGAGTTGTCTTATCAGTTAGCAAGCATGGCAAGCATAGGAGGAGTTATCGTGCTTCTTCTCTTCCATTAACAGCCAAGCACGCTCAACATAAGAGCCTCTTGAGGAATGTCGTTACCGGAGCAGTTTAGCTGATGCCTGAGGCCAGGCACAGGGGCCAAGATCTACTGGGAACAGCTACCTTCCCAGCAAACGAGCACACTGTGAGCAGATATCTCCCCCTTGCTCGCTCAGATCCTTCTTCGGCCTTCACAGCCCCGAAACTTCGAGAGGTTCCAACAAATCCAACGTAGCCAATGTTTTGGAACTCTTGGGGCCAGACGGCCCAACATTGGGACATGGCTTTCAAATCCTCGAGCGGTCCCAATGTCTTGGAGCCGTGGGACCTCAAAAGTTCAAAGCGCTGAGGACTCGGCTTCGAGGCAAGGCCCAGACTTCTACATACTTCTACCCTTTTCGGACTCTTTGACACTTTCCTGCCTTCTGAAACAAGGCAAGAGGCCCAGCGCCTACGGGCGGATCCAATGCAGGTGGATGTCCCGTGCTCAGGAGTATGCAGGTCTAGCATGAAACTCGGTTGAAGGTTGCGGCGGCTTTTGTGGCAGGGTTTCGGGATCAGTTATGGGTGGGTTCTATGTTTGGCGGCTGTTGGGTTGAGGGTGTTGTGGCAACTTGCGAGACACCCTTCGACTTAAGCAAAAAAGGGCTCAGAAATGGTTGAAGGCATGGGGCTTTGACGAGTGTTCAAGGCTGGGGATTGGGGGGGAATGGGGCGGGGCAAGATAGGGTGACGTTCGCCTAGGCTATGGCAGCGGCTATGGGCACGCAGGTGGCCCTGAGCGCCCAGCAGCAGCAGCAGGTCCAGCAGCAAGCCTTTGCCCAAGGCTTCGCGGGCCCACCAGGCAAGACCCGAGAATTGAGGACCCTAACGACACGCGTACCCTAAACGTGAAACCCATTTAGGGCCAGTTGTGGCGGGGCGTGAGCTTAAACGACAGGAGCGCCACGAACTTGTGCGTGACTTTGGCGGACAAGGGATAGGCCTACGCATAGACCAGGTTTTGGGTCACTTGCATATGTAAGAGGCCCGTGAGCTTCCTGAAGTCCCAACACCCATGCTGTGCCCGCAGATTCCCACCTGAAGCCTCTGAAGCCTCCCTTCCCCAGGCTTCATGATGGGCATGCCAGCGCTGCCTCTGCAAGCGGCGGCGCTGGGTCTGCCATGCTTGCCTCCTGCAGCGATGTTTCAGCTTGCGGCGATGTCGCAGCAGGTGCGCAAAGCTCCGAAAGCCGCCATTGGCGAAACCGTAGTTCCGCGTGATAAAAGGTTGCGCCAGCGCCAGCGCCGCCAGCGCCGCCAGCGCCACCGCCGCCACCGCCACCACCGGCGCTGCAAGACGAGGGGAAAGAAACGGAGAGGTGCTCCGGCTTCATGACTATGAACAGGATAAACGGGGACTCTAGCGACTCTAGCTTTGGGGCTTTGCAGCTTGAGGATGCAAGTTGAAAAGAAGTCCCGCACCTCAGGATACTTTGAGTGAATCCAAAGACTCCCAAGCGCCTTTGCCAGGGAACCGCCGCCTGCTGACCGCAGCCAGGTCGTGCGGCTCCCCAGTCGGCGGTGCAGAAGCTCGTTTTCACGTTTCTCGCGGCACTGGCATGAGATCCTGATTCCTGAGATGGCCTCAAAACCCGATTCTCGAGAGCCCGAGCCCCCTCTTTGCGATCATGGGGCCCTGGAGGTTCGGGAATGAGGCCGAGCAAAGGCGCAGTTCACCCAAACCCAGGAGCCTAGAAGTTGGACTCTCCTAGGGCGACATGACAAATTGAATGTTACAAATGCTCATGGCCCTTGGCCGGCGCCAGAGTGTTGTGCCCCCTCTGCGCTTGGCACACAACTGCTTTGTTTGTTATTGTTTATCTCGTTTTGTTTTTTGCTTCCTTTTTGTTTGGAAGGGTGGAAGGTGGCATGTGATGTACAGATGAGTGCAGACGCGTTCCTCTTGCAAGCCTTCGCGCCAGCACGAGTTGCTTTTCAAATGTTAAGTGGACCCAGGGCATGGTAGGTTGGACCGCCCGGAACACCAAAGCCAACCTGGCTCCTCATGATGCTAAATGGCCACGATGCGAAAGCCAATCTTGCTCCTCATTATTACTGCTCTTTCGGCTCTCATTTTGCGATCGCCCTCGCTCCGTCAGAGAGACAGAGAGAAAGATAGAAAGAAAGAACGAAAGAAAGAGAGAGAGAGAGAGTGGAGAGAGAGAGAGAGAAAGAAAGAAGGAAAGAAAGAAAGAAAGCAAGGAAGCAAGGAAGCAAAGCAAAGAAGCAAGGAAGGAAGGAGGAAGGAAGAAAGGCAAGCTGAGCTATTTCCCCTTGCCGTTGCCGCGGCATAGCAACCCACCTGCTATGGCCGCATCGTCGATGGCAACATCGAGCTTTCCACTGTCCTGTGGGATACGACCTTGGAAATACCTCCTCACCAGCATGCTGCGGACTTCGCGGCCTAGCATCGGAGCCGCCCATGAACCTGACCATCCGTCGTCGCCGCCCGTCCACGCAATCCTCCTGCCCTTCCACGTTGCCCTTCCGCCCGTCGAAGGAATCACCTAAGCCCGGGCCTCCAAACCCTCCATCCTGGACCTATGCATCCTTTGCATCGAGGTCGGTCCCGCGAAGGATTCGGCGGTGCCGGAGGATGTGGTGAGGTGACCGGGGGTAGGGTTTGGGGTTCATGCTTAAAGCGCGGACTTGAGCGGAAGTTGATGGGTCTTTGCGAGGTTCTGAAAGCCCCAGACATCCCAGGGTGCTGAGAACACCCCGCGGGGCTCCCGAAATGCCTCAAGAGACCCCAAGCGCGCAAAATCCGCTATGGCTGAAGAAGCTTCATCTAGGTCCTGGGGACCTACAGCTCCAATCCCTTTCAGGTACTATGTAGAGGGCTTCCACACTCCTCGGCTCAATGGCATCTATGAGGTCAAACCTGCCACTCGCTTGCAGGAGTTGTGAGGGAAGGAATTAGATGCAGATGTGGTTGCAGAAGCCCGTGGGGCGATGTTGCCTTCAAGCATGACTGGGCCGAGGGAGCAGGCAAGTTTCAGGGACGGAAAGATCAAGAGAAGCCCAGCCCCGAAATGGACCCGAACTAGCCTCAAGCCCCTCAGCTCCGACACCAAGGGCCACACCGTGGGTGGCATGCAAACGTATTGGAAGATGAGTCAGGCCTGTGATCGCCAAGCCAGGAAGGTTGTAGTCGTGAGCATTGATGTGTTTTCGGTTTCGGGCTGAAGGTTTGGCCTTGAACCCTGAACCCGAAACCCTAAACCCTTGGAGTTTCTCAGGGCTTCAAGTCTGCTCGTTGATGCTGTGAGAGTCATGCTGCGGGCTGGGATTGGTGGTTTGGCTGCGGCTACATCAAACAGTTAGGGTTTAGGGTTTAGGGTTTAAAAGTACAAAATTGGAAGTCTACTTTGCACGGCATTGTGCTTTCTGTTTCCCAGTTATCTGACGCGGAAGTCGGATGGTTGAGGCGTTTTGCCGTTTTCCAGTGTGCCCCTGCTCCCAACTGAGGACATGAGTCCCGGTTCAAAAAGGTGCAAGCAGATTTGGAGTGTTGGGTGGGTGCGGAGGTGAGTGAAGAGTGCACATAAAGGCTGCCGTGTGGCCCTAAACCTTGACCCCGGTCTCGGAAGTCGGGCGACGGCATACCAGCACGCAAGGGGCTTAGGTTTTGGAGTGCCGCCCCCAGCAGTCAGGAACAAGCTTCGGGTTCAAAAAGGGCTGATGATGGGTTTTTTCTGCGCACGGGCTCTTAGTCTTTTTGTTTTGCACATACGTGTGTGCTCAGGAATGTGGGTTTGGACTAATGATGGTGAAGGAACCCTCAACGCAGAGTTCACAGCTCTCATGGCAGAAGCCGGCCATCTTCTCTTGAAGCATCCAGGAACAGAGGTGTTTTCTAGCAAATCATGGCCCGAAAGCAGGTTCTTTGTGCTAAATCAACAAATTTCCTGTTGCTTTATTTTGCATTCACCTTCTGGTGTGGGAAACAACTCGTGGTGCGAGGCGTCCTCATAGGCGATAGCACGTTCAGGGAAGGAAAATTAGGCTCAACATTTCGGACCCTTCATGAGCTCATGACTCATGTAGAAACGTTTTCAGAGCACTACGGCCTACGTCTAACAGGGCTTCAAGTGCCACGTCCTGCATATGAACAAGGACGCAAGAGTTCCCTTTTTCGGATCACTTTTGTATTGCTGATGTAAAGCGCACTTGGTTGAAGCTACATGTCTATTGTAGAGACCGCGCCGCCAACAGTAAATGGCAGCTGTTGGTCTATGACACTGTTATAGGAAGTATGCTCCTTTTCTGGTCTCGAAGCAATGCATTTAACAAAGTCCGAGGCCTTCGCGAAGGGTTGCTTCCACGGATGATCGTAGGAATACCGAGGCGAAATTATTCGGGAAGGCATCTGAAATCGCAGGTCGTCAAATCGTTCCGTTTAGCAAAATGCTAGAACAAACGCGAATAAAAACTTGTTGGACACATCTTACGTTCTCCTTTAACAGACCCAATGCGTCGGATTAGTTACAAACCTGACAGCGCCAGCCAGCAATGCTTTAAACATTGGGTCATTCAAGATAACGTCTCTCCTGCTCCCTTTAGCGCCGAAAGGTTCACCGATGATGCAGAGATGTGCATTCAACGCATGGTATGGGACAAACTCAATTCGAACAGAGATTTAGGAAGCAGAGCCGACATAGGTTTTCCTATGAAACTATTTTCCTGTGAAAACGAGACACAGAGGTTGTTCTATTGACATGCTTAAGAAACAGGCACATACGGAAGAAATTGTTTCGTAGGCAAAAAAACAGCAAAACCTGGAGGAAATACACAATGTTCCATTTAGTTTGTTGTTTGTAGTGACGGTGCTATTTTTCCCTTACATCGCCCCGCCACTTTGCATAGCCGCTGCAGGATCCCTCCGAGATCGTCTTCATGTTTTGCTACTTGCAAGCACAGAGGCCGCCGGCAGCATGTGGCATATGCTTGGGGAAAAAAAAAGGGAAGCTGGATGAGTTTGACAGATGCACGGTTTTGTGTGTTCAGTGGCTGCCTTTTTGTGGGCCTAAGCTTTCCGTGGTGTTCATCTCAATCCCTGAGAGCGATGTTTGCGGAGGTGGCAGCTTTGTCCTCTTTATGACGTCCTGGCCTTACTGCTGCCATTCTCCACTTGGGCCCAGCCGCCGCTACCCTGGGTTTTTGCCTCCGGAAACCTTATTCCCAAGAATCCTGCAGATCTGCGTGCACATCGTGCGCCCAGGTCGGGGACAATGGCCAGCTCGGCACCGACTTGTTCCAGCAAGCGCTCGCAGCGCGGCTGCCGTTCGTTTGTTCGCGTGGAAGTTCTCATGAAGGTCTCGATCTTGTGGTATTGGGAGGGGAACGCGCGAAAACACGGCGTTCAGGAATTTAGAGCGGAGTCAAGGACCTCAGAGATTCTTCAGCACCGTGAGTCTACGCATAGCCGGCACCTGGCTGCCCTGACGGCCCTAAGCCCTCCAACACAAATCCTTGAGCATGTGCTCCTCGCCTGCGAGTATGGCAAAAGCTGCGGCCAGTAAGGTCTTACCCTAAGCCCTAAACCCTAAACCCTAAACCTTAAAACCACCATAAAGCGCCGAGGCAGGTTCAGGTCGAGGTGCACCAGAGCTGCCTGTGTTTCAAGTTGCGGTTCGGGGTGGGGCTTAGGCTTGTGTTACAGATTCTGCACAGGTTAGTGGACTGTTTAGGGTGTAGGCGGCTGAGGGTCTAGGGCATTGTGGCGGGTTACAGGATAAAAGGGAGCCTAGGTAGTTCGGAGTATGTTCTTGTATGACTTGCCCTGATAGTCAGCAGCTGCAGCTATCCAGACTCTGGAAAACAATACTTCGGGGGAGTTGTCTTGTTCTTGATGAATTGCCCAGAAGCCAGTGGGTTGTGCACGGATCGTGATGTGGTTTTTGATGTCTGGACTCTATTGGGGCTCGGGCTCGGGAAGTTTCTGCCAGGGATATGTGGAAGATGTGGCGACTAGCTACGTACCCCATACTCCCGCCTTAAGCTGTATTGTCATGCTGTCTCCAAAGTTCTCAACCTTGCAAAATGAGATTGCCCAGGCCCCAGGCTAAGGGGTAGTTATATGCTCTAAACCACATGCGAGCTTGCGCAGGCCTGGCCTACTCGACAGGCGATGTCACTATCTGGAAGGAGTACCTGAACGACGACTGGTGCCTAGCGGAACTCCACATTAGCCAGGGGGCCAAGAGGGACCACTTGAAGGTTCTGTAGTAGTTGTGGGCAAAGTACATTGGTTGGATAAAATCTTGCGTGACCCCCTCTGGCAAGTATGGTATCGTGCCCCTCTATTTTCAATCTTGCAGGCGAGTGTGGGTGACGCAGAATTTGGGTCACTCGCACACCCCTGCCAAGCGTGGTCAATAGTAACATTCAGGGTTTGGAAGTACAAGAGAAGTGATGCTGGATGTCGTCCGCCAACGGTATAGGAGTGATAGCTCGCTAGAGAGCTAACAACGTATATAAGCCAGCAGCCCCACTTCCCTCAACCCCCTAAACTGCGTTTGAGATAAGCCCTAAACCCTAAACCCTCACACTTAGCACTTAGTATGGGTTTGCGAGCCTCCTCAGGGCCGAGGTTTAGGCAGTTGTCAGACTTTGGGAACTCGTCGCGTCACTCGAGCCCGGAAACCATGCCCTGACATACGGGAGTTTCCGAAACTAGGGGGTACTTTTTTTGGGGTCCTTCTAAGAGGCGGGACTCAAGGGCTGCAGCGCCTAAAAGCCTTCCACGCGCAGGAGTCTTGGACCCTAAGCTGGGTCATTGTTGACAGTCATCTTACATGTTTATGGATACTTAAACCCAATAAAGAGCAACAAGGATAATTTTTAAATAGTACAATCAGAAAGCAGGCGTATATGCGTAATAAGCACAACAACAATAAGAATGACGCGAAAAAATTGAATATTTTTTACTAGCAACACTGCCACTCTTGATAATATTGGGACTATTGATAGTGTTGACAAGACTCCGTTTTAAAGTCGAAACCGGGTTCAGTTCTACAGTACTTCTAAGACAAAGGCCTACTGCAAGCGATGGTTGTTTAGGGCTTCTAGGAAATCGTTAGTTCTGAGCTTTCTTTTCGGATTCGTTTTGTAAAAAAAGCTTGGCATTATGCACGCCATAGGTCTGTAGGAATTAGGAAATGCCGACTTCAATGGATGTGCGGCGGGGATTCTTGACGTATGTTGTGTTTACCCTAGGCGCCTGATGAAATCGATGCAGTTCACAGGTTTCCCGACAATCTGGCAAACCCAGAATCCAAGAGAGTTCGTCTGGGATTTTTTGTGCATGCGCTCCAATTCAGAAGCATCCCAGTGGGTTTTTAGGGAAAATGGGAAATCCCCAATCTCACAAACGTGTTTCGAAGTCCTTGCTTTATGCGTTCTAATCACGAAACCTAATGGAATGAAAATCAGCTTCCGCCGGCGAAGTTCATAGAATCCGAGGAAATTTTGAAAGCCCTCAATTCCTTTTGACCAATTTAACAATACCTTTGTCTTTCTTCGTCCGAACTTCTAGCAAATTTAGAATCCTACGCTTATGGCTCAGCTTGTCTGGGTGCGATGGTACACCCACATGCCTCTTATGGCACCCTGCCCTCAACCATCTTCACACTCTTGGACTTGTGACGCGGCAACGAGGCTGCGACAAAGGAAGTGGCAAATGGGAGGCGCGGCCAGAAACAGCATGCAAGACACTCCCGAACATCGCAGCACCGAAAGTCCGAAGTCAGAGCTTCGGACTGTAGGAACCTAAACCCTAAACCCTAAACCCTAAACCCTAACCCTAAACCCTAAACCATGGAGGGCCTCAAGGATGATTTCGGCAGAGGGTTTAGAGTGTCATCTCAAGTTCAGACTGCGGCATGGGCGACTGGTTATGACAAGATAGTGCGGTAAGCTCCAGAAAGTTGGAACATGGGTTTAGTTCAGTAGTGCTGGGTTTCCCTATCCTTTACCTTAAGGGAAATACGATAATGATGTTTCCAACTTTCTGGAGTTTACTACAGGCTGCCTAGCAGTAGTCTCTGAGCAGGCTCTTAACGTTCCTGGCATGCCGGCGATGGGACAGCAAAAGAAGCAGGCAGGCACGTTGCACCTGCACGTCAAAGAGTGGAACAACTGCGGGGAGGTGCGGAGAGGTGGGTCCTTACTGCTGGTCAGGGTTGAAGCTATGAAGTGTGCACAGTTGTGGGGCCTGGCATTTCAAAGCTCTCTTGGAGTTTGCGTGGTTTTCGTGCGAAGCGTCCGGACTGCGCTTGCTTCGCAACTTCTCGAAGGAGGAGATCTGTTGGCTCGAGTGTGGAGCAAGCGTTTCACTCCCAGATGGAGAATGTAACATTTCTGATCACTGTGTCCGCCGTCTACGCCTCCGTGATTTGGCTCCTTCCTGTCTCCGTGGATTTCAACTCGAAGAACTTGTTTTTCAGGACATCGCATTCGACAACAGATGCAACCGCGCAAGCCCGTTTGCAGGAGTACAAGAAGAATAATTTGCCGGATTGGGTTCCGGTCTTCACAAGAAGCGCTGAAGTCTACTTCTTGGTCTGGAGCGTGCTTCGTTTAAGTTGCTCGGATTGGCCAGACTTCGTCAAAGTTTTCCTTGATGATTCAAGACTATGTATGATTCCCATATATAGGTGTATATATATATATACTATATACATATATATATATATACTCTATCTATATATATATATATATATATATACTCTATATATATATATATATATAGATAGTATAGCCCTATATACGTATAGCATATATATATATATATATATATATATATGCTTGTAGATTCTGTCGGTACAGTACTTCTTGCATACCCGAGGTATCCCAGGAGCTTGGGCGAAGCCAGCCTACGAAGACTTGCATCTGTGGAGCCTCCTGACCGTCTTATGTTCATTCCGATGGTCCTGTCACCCTTCAGCAAAACGATCCTTATTGCAACGAAGGCTCGTGTCCACGGCGCTGTCAATGGCTTTTTCCATTACTCAGGTGGATATGCCAAGGCAGATCGGGCACCTCAACGGTGTAGCCAATGTTGGTATCTCGCTGTTTGTTGGAGACCCCTGGTTTGGTCTTGCTGTGTATGCTGCGTGCTGTCCACTGAAGGTGGCGCTCGCATGTCACAGGATGCATCTTGCGGAGGTGACGCTCGAGCCTGTCGACGAGCTGGTGTGGTGGGTGGTGAGTGATGTCGTGACATGTATATTCACTTTTTCGATTTTGCAACACATCGACATTCTTCTTAGCAATGTGTTGCAGACCGCGGTCGATTTGGAGCACCAAGTTCGTGAAAGGGAGAAGGGCATGCAAGAGAGAGATCACCTGCTGTCGGCCGCGAGCCGCCTGCTTTCTGTAACCTGTGATTGCTGTGAGCAACTCTCTGACAGTTTCGAAATTGTGCAACCTTCTCAAAACGCGTTGGCTTTGTTCCACATCAAGAACCCCGAAGAAGACTCGCAGCTTGAACCAGGCATTTCGTCGTTGCCTCTGCGGCAGTATATCTGTGATGATGACCAGGAACGCTTTGCGCAGTTCATAGCTTCTTCCAATGAGTCCCAGGCAGCTTCATCGCTGCACCTCTGCATGAGAACATGCTCGGGTAGCAACTTCGAGGCACAGATCTTCCATGTGAAGGTTCCCGGCACCAATCGACCACACCTCATTGGCATCAAGTCTTTCGCTGAGATGACCAGCATTCCGGAGCATTCCGTCCCTGTAGCCTCCTTTGGAGTCATTCTTTCGTTTTGTTTATGTAACAATATTCTTTCTATTTGGCGGTTTCCGATAATCTTGGTACCACCCTTATGGAGCCCCAAATCGTAGGAATCCCTTTAAGAAAACCCTCACCCCCCCGAAATTCGGAAACGCCCCCCGTTTGGGCCGGGCCTCACCCCTAACTTTTTGGGGGGTTTCACGGGTTTTCACGGGCACTGAAGGTCCTGGAGTCTCCCGTGGCCAGCCTCCCGATACCCACGGTGCCTAGGTCCCGGAGCCAGCGAAGCCGCCACTCCGCTGGGCTGAGGAAGCTTTTTTTAGAGCCTGGCTTAGGGGTTAAGGGTTTAGGGTTTAGGGTTTAGGGTTCAGGGTTTAGGGTGGCTAGTAGTGAACTTAAAACTTGCATCCCCAGCGCCCTCCTATCCTAAAGCCCTATAGAGCCCCAAAGAAACGACGCCCTATGAAACTGTATACTTCCCAGCAGCAACCTTAAGCAAAAGCCAGAGATACACCTGCTAGAAGAGCCTTAAACCCTAAACCCTGAAACCCGAAATCCTGAAGCCCTAAACCCTGAACCCTGAAACCCTAAACCCTAAACCCTCCGTAGCCATTTTGGCTCAAGCCCTACGGCTCAAGCCTTCAAGTTTGAGTGGGCCAGGGTTACAGGTTATCGGAGTTTCAGGTAAGTCCCGACCCTTGTCTGTAGAGTAGAGTAAGCCCCTCGAAAATCCAAATCTCCGTGTCGGCAGCCTCGACCCCCCCTTGCTTCTTCCCCCTTTTTCTCTGAGCCGATTGATCCCCATGTCCCGGGAAGTGGATGACGAGGTAGAGTTCGTGTGTGAAGATAGTCGGGATGGATCGGGGAGGGGGCGCGGGGCGCTGGCGGAGCTGGCCGATCAGACGATGGCCGCCAGGGCCAGTTATGCCGCAGCTGTGGGGTTGGGGGGTGCGGCCCTCCTCTCCGGACCGACGAGCGTAGGGGGGGGGGAAAGGGAGCGTCCAGAACTGAGACCAGCCCCAAGAGGATCAAGACGGGTGGGGGAGGGCTGGAGCCGGCCCCTATGTTTGGCCATGGAGTTGGGGGAGGTGGGCCGTTGGCTTCTGGCGAGGGGGGGGGGGAGAGATGAGGACGGCATGGGCGGCGTGGGTCTGGACGGGGGTCACCAATTTTTGGAACAGGACGCCCCACCACCACCGTGGGTGGTGAGTCTGCAACAGGGCATGCTTTCCATTCAGCAGATGCAAACCAATGTGCTGAGAGAAATGAGTGGACAGAGAGAGACCTTTGAGAGGTTTGGAGAGCGATTGCAGAGTATAGAGCAAGTTCAGCATGAGGGAGCGCAACGATTGGACCGCCTGGAACAAAGGTTGGTCGAGGTGGAGAGAGAACTTCAGGAAGTCCGCTCTCGACCACCTAGCCTGGGCCCGGGCACTCCGCGCAGTTCCGTGGGGGGTACGACAGGGGGAGGAGGGCATGGGGGGGGGAGAGACAAACGTGGAGACGATGATCGGTGGGACGACTTCCAGATCGTCATAGGTGGATGGGACGAGGCCAGGCGAGGGGACGTGGAGGAAGAGGTACGGCGGGTGTTCCAAGAACTAGCGGGCAGTTCACTCCTACAGGACATCTTCATCCCTGGCATACGAACGACATTTTGTAGGATCCGTCTGCACCATATGGAGGACACGATGGCAGGCAAGAGACGGGTGCAGTCCTCGGTCATTCAGGCCCTCAAGACCCACTTTCAGTCCAACCCGTGTGGCATCCCTGGGAAAGAAAATGTGAGACTCTGGGTTTCCAGAAACCGATCACCGCAGGAAAGAAACAAACTCAGGGCCCTGCTTTCTTTGAAAGATTTGGGTAAGCAGCACATTCCCGAAGCGGACATTGACCTGGACTGGGGGGGGAAGTTGTGGTTCAAAGGAGAGCAAGTTCTCTGGCAAGCAGCCTCTAAGACGCCTCCGCAGGAAGCGCTCATGATGCAAGACCGGAAGGGAGATGATACGGGCTACTGGCTGGATCCTCGGGCAGTCGCGCGGATTCTGCAAGTCGATGAGGATGTGGTCCGGCGACACTACCGCGCGACGGAGTAGGATGCAGGCAAGAGAAAAAGGGGCACTGCAGTTTTCGAGGCCAAAATAGCCACGTGGAATGTGCATGGGAAGAATTTGACGCAACTATCGGACCTGCTCGACCAAGTCGAGGATCCTCCGGAAATCTGGAGCTTGCAAGAATTGGGGGGTTTGGGGGGTCTCCCGGAAGGGGAAGTAGAGACCATCAAGCACAAGATAGGAGGGGCACAGTACGTGGTTTATGCTCTGAATGCAGCAAAGTCCTTTCGGTGCACCGCCGTGGCCCTCAGGGAAGATGTCCCCGTACAGGATCTCAAAGTAGAAACAACCCCCATAGGACCCCTGGTTTCACTTAGGCTACAGGGAAGACGGTTCCATGTAGCCTCGCTACACTGGCCGCACTCTTTGCGGGAGGATTCTGTGGAAGTCTGGAAAAACACGGTCGAAGCGTTGTATCAGGCTTTGCGGGATACGCGTTTTCATGACGTTGTCCTCTTGGGGGCGGACGTCAACCAGGACATGTTGCAAGTAGACACCTTCGAAGGAATGCCATATCTTCGCAGCTTCATGATTGCCCACGGCCTAGACCATAACCAGGATGTGGGCGATACGTGGCAGGGCAGGGGGTGGAGCAGCCGAATCGACTATTGGCTGTATCGGGCACCGGCCCTGTGGACCACGTTCCACCTACGCCCAGATCTCAAGCAAGCTTTGCCGTCGGATCATGCCCCGCTGTTTGCACGTAATAAGTGTGGTCGGTGGGTAGTCCAAGGGGAGCTGGTCGATGCGCTGCATGATGATGTAGATTTTGTCTTCACGCAGGACACTTTTGCAGATGCATGTCAGCAGTGCTCGTACCGTATGCCTTCCCTAAGATACAAGGACCCCCCCCATATCTTGGAGGTCATTCGGAGGCGGAAGTGTGCACAAAACCCCCAGGAGAGGGCCGCCCTCATGGAGGAGATACGCTCCCTCAGAGGGGAAAGCCGGGCGGCGCATAAAGTCGCTCTTCTGGAAAAAGCTAAGTCCGGAGACAGGGCCCCTATCGCTTTCCTAAGGAGGCAGGCGCAGCAGGGGGCCTCAGAAGTGACGTACGTTCGACAAGCAGGGGGAGAGTTAAAGGCTGCAGCCGAGATGCAGAAGTTCTATGAGCATAAATATGCTGACCCTGCCCCCCAGACTTCCCTTCTCCTTTCAAGCCTTCAGCCCCACGCCGACGCCGATGTCGTGCCAATTAAGGGGGAGGAGGTGGTACAAGCATTGGACAGGGTCAAAAAGGGGACGGCCTCCGGCATGGATGGGGTGGTGTATGAGGCAGTTAGGAGTTTCTGTGCACGGGACCAAGGCGAAAAAGTAGCGGCGTATTTCACTCGTGTGCTCCGCGGGGTGCCGGCCAGCGGATTTTCGCCCTATTAGCTTGACCCCCTGCCTCTGTAAACTCTACTCGAGTCATTATGCAGCGGCTCATTGCCAAGGCCCCCCCCTACGTGTCAGGCCAGTTCGCCTGCAGAAAAGGCGTGCAAACGGTTGATGGGGTCGCGGCGGCGCATCTCGCGGCGAGCGTCATGAGACAGGCGGGCAAGGCTCTGCACGCCGCTAAATTGGATATCCGGGCGGCATTTGATAGTTTATCACATGCGGCGGTAGTGAAGTGGCTTGCAGCATGTGCACCGTGCGCGGAGGCATGGGCCATCTGGAATCTTGTAGGGGGCACGTCGGTCGAAATGCAGTTTGGGCAGCAGCAATGGGAGGTGCCCCTTACACAGGGAGTCCTGCAGGGCACATCCTTCTCAGCAGACCTGTTCTCTAGATGCATGGACTTCTTTCTCGTCGGGCTGCCCGCGCGATGGGCGGCCCAGTTCCCAGACTTCCAAAAAGAACTTAGCTCTACGCCGCACTTTCTTTTGTTTGCCGATGATATACTTGTTCTGGCTAATTCGGCACCGGGACGGGGATTTGGATGAGAGGCAGAGCGATGCCGCTCCCTAGTCGAAGCGAACTTGTCTTCTTGGGAGTACCCTTCTCTCACACGCAGAACCCCCTTGTCTTGTTGGCGTAAAACGCATAATGCGTACTTTGGCCTGAGGAGCATTCTAAAAGCTAGACACACTCCACTCTCCATGAAGTTTCAGCTGTTCCATAGCTACATAACTAGTAAGTGGATGTGGGCGGCCGGCGTGGTGTGGCCCTCGGTACGCGCCCTAAAAGCGGTGGAGGGATACCAAAATCCGCTAGTTGAGTGGGTCCAGGACTTTAGAGCGGTGCGTCGGGCGGCAAAGTACCTGTGTGGCCAACATGGAGGGCCGCAATGGAGACGAGACTGGCTCTGTAGGATCTGGCGATACTGGGGCCACGTGGCCCGCTCCACGGTGAGCACGCCCCTCAGTTCTATGGTGGCGGAAGGGGGGGGCATAGGCATTTCTATGGGGCGGGTGGCTGCCGCCCACGTGGTGGCCACAATACCACGGAAACTACAGTTTTGTTTTGCGCAGTTTAGCAGTCGCCATAGAAACCCGGCATGGCACATTGTGGCGCAAGATAGGCTGGCCTGGGCGACCCTAGAAGTGGCCTGGCTCGATCACTGGGGCGTTAGGCTGCATCTGGAACCCAGCCCGGCGGAGCTTGCCATGCGACAGCTAGTTGTGGTGGGGGAGGAGATGGCGCAGCTTAGGCCACATCGTGCTTTCCCGGATGACCCGTACCGGACGACAGTCCTATGCATAGGCCACTATGCGCATAGGCATGGAGTGTGGGTCATCTGGGTCAAAACGGGAGAAGGGGTGATGATACAGGCATGGGACACACAGCAAGATATAGGAGAGGCTGATGTCCTTCAGGTGCGCGCCACCGGGGAGTGGGCGGGATTGTTGTGGCGCACGTGGGCCGCCGTGGCGGCCATGGTAGAGCAGGTCCCGCTGGGCCGCAGACACGATCTTCGGGTGGTGATGCCACCGCACCTGTTGGCCACACAGTTCCTGCTAGAGGTCCCGGGCCGTTTCCATGGAGAAATGGCTTTCTTCCGGCAGGTCGACATGAGCTCTGATCTGCTGTCTAAGGTATGGCTGCCGCCTAAGAAAACCCCCCAAGCCCTTAAAGAACTCGTGCATACGGAGTTCACGGAAATACCGTCGCCTTTCTCCAGGCTCCTTCGAAAACATAACTTTAGCCGAGCCCAGTTTCTCACCTAGACGAGCCGGTATGAGCCTTGCTAGGACCAGCCGTAGCCGCAGCCCGTGCCGAGCAGAACCCACGAGAGCAATGGAGCGAGATGCGCAGCCCGCCTTCCCCACGAGGGCAGACCTCCTCGCTACCATGCATGTGGCAGAACGCAAGGCGTGGCACTACTTGGAACTCGACAGAAGTGCGGGGGTCATCCCGGACATGGCCGTCCTCGATGTGTTCGACTCGCTCCCCAAGGATACGCATCCCAGAAGTGCCCACGGACATGCAGTAACTATGGGGGCAGTTCAACGGGGGAGCACTGGGCTGCATAGAGCCACACTGCGGTTCCCTCTAGCCACGCAGCTGACGGCCACGTGGGTGCGAAGAAGAACGTCTTTCCCCCTTCACCTCCCTCGCCATTTTGGAAGGGGGCAGCGAAGGGATGCACAGGGACGTCAACAACGCCCACATCCCGAACGTGATCCACCGTCTCACAGACTTTGGGGGGGGGGAACTGTGGGTGGAGGACCCGGAGGGCCCGCACGAACATCGCCAAGGGGGACGGGCTTTTCGAGGTCGGATGCTCCCCATCGCTCCGTTTGTAGCCTTCAGCGCCAAAAAGCTGTACCATGCGGTCCAAGCGTGGCAAGGGCGCAGGGTGGTGGTGGTCCAGTACACCGTCGCTAGCTTTCTCAACATCACCACCCACAACGTCTCCCAACTGCTCGCTATGGGATTCCGAATGCCAACACGTGAGGAAGAAGCCAGAGCAAAAGACTCGGTGTGGCGAGGATCTGCCTCGCGGCAGAGAGCGCTCGAAGAAGTGACCTCAAGATATGCCATGTGGCAATTCTCTTCCTCCACGGCAGCAGTTGAGACCGTGGCAGTGGAGGACTCCCCTCCTGAGGAAGCACCCGAGGAAGCAATGCCGGGATACATCACCATGCTCCTTGCTGAACAGCAGAGCGATACCGCGCCCACACAGCTGGACGCATTCAGCAGTGATGACAATACAAGAACGTGACACCCCCTCAAAGACAGGCGCGTCCGCCCGGGACTGGAGATATGCACCTCGCAGTCCGCACTCTGAATTCAATCGAATTTGGTACCTTTGTGCAAGTGCAACACAGGGGGCTGAGCCTCCGGATGAATTCCCAGAATGCGTACGAATCCCCGAATTCATGCAGAATTTATCCGCATCCCTCATCTGGTTTGTCGGCTTTGTCTTGTTTAGGTTAGGCCCAGGTACCGCAGTGTGGTTTCTAGTGCACGCAGGAGCGGACATGAATGCAAGTTGCCCCAGTGCATCGGTGCATTAGCGTGCATGTGCGGCTTCAGTTCTGAGTGGCGCTGCCACAAAAAGGGGGACATAAACACATAGACACATAGGCACGACAACACTCACATCGGGGAAACCCGCCCCCTCCACTGCGCGGGACGACACGGTGGAAGCCGATGGCGCGGCGCAGGGGGGGGGGGGGGAACTGGAAAGTCACGGAGTGCCGGGCGGCGCTGAGAAGCTGCACCATTTCACTCCCCCTCTCTCCCTCTCGACGGGGTCTAGGACCTACGGCGCGGTAGGGGGGGCGGAGGGGGGGGGGGGGGGGGGGGGGGGGGGGCGGGACGGTCCCGAAAATTGTTTGCAGTACCTGACACATCCCCAAACCCCCTAATAAACATGTCTGGCACATCACACATGGCCCCCACCCTAGGAGTCCGAACCAACCGCCCGCGCCCAGCGACATCTACTTTCGAGCCCGCTAAGCGTAGCAGCACTAAGGCCAGGGTAGAAGCCTCGCCATGGAACACCGCCCCGACAGCGCTACCCAGGAGCAGCAGGCGGAGGCCGCTTGGACGACGCAGGTCCTGGCGATGGTGGCTCTGAAGCTGCACCAGCTGGACCTCGCCACGGCCAACCTGTGGATGTGGGCATTGTCGCTCGTGCTGGTGATGGGAGTGCTTGGGGCTATGATGGGCATGCGGCTCCGCCGCCGCCCCCCTACATTGGAGTCACCAGTGCAGGGACCAAGCCAGGCAACGCAGGCAGACGCAAGTGGGGTGCCCATGACCCACCTGCAGGACGTGCTGAAAGCGGCGCTGCAGCCGCAGGTGCGCATCCTGACTGAGGTCAAGACGGCTCTGGAGCGGCTGAAAGCGCAGAGCGAGGCCGATACGGGAGCCCGGCAGCGGCTGGACGCCCAGGTCGACAAGCTTGGGCAGGCCGTAACCAAGGTGGAGGGCATGGTGGACGACATGGGGACGGCCCTGCAGGCGGTCCGGTCCAAACAAGACATGCTGGATGGCAAGCTTACTGCCAATGGCAACGAGACGGCGTCGCTTTGACGCTGTGGAGAGTCGGCAGACAGAACTGGAGAAGAAGGTGGACTACCAGGCCCGGGCCACGCAGGAGCTCATCAAGGAACTCCAGGCATATCAGGCGACAGACCACAAGGCAGCCCAGGACAGTCTGCATTACTTGTGCGGGGCGGCGGAGGAAACCCTCAAGCAAGTCCGAGCGGTCGCCGACGCATCGTGGTCGGATGCCGAGTTGCTCAAGGAGATCCAACAATGCCTGGAGGACCTCAAGCCCAAACAAGGGCCATGGAGGCAACCGCCGGTGTCGTCAGCGGCGGGCAGCCAGGCGGAGGGACCGGCACCGACGGGGCCACCGGTGATCAATCTCCAGGATCAGATCAGCATGCCAATGGGAGGATACGCGACGGTTATCTTCCCCCAGGGCCATGCTATGCCGATCAATGTCGCGGCCTTGGGGAGATTCATGTCGCAAAGATGAGTGCCGACAGCAACAACCAGGGCCGCGGGCAGCGAACCTCGAGTGTGGTGTGAGGGTGCAAGGCCCGAGATGCACGCATGTATAGTGAGAATTGGAGAATGCGAGAATTTGGGAATTCGTCAGAATTTGGGAATTTGTCAGAATTCGAAACAGCAGCATGAGGTGCATCACAACCTGCAGCGTTGCGAATTCACTTGCCTGGAATTCAAATAGAATTTAGGTGGGCAGGGTCCGGCCCTGTATAGTTTTTGACTGAACCTTGCGACCGAGCATGACTAGTAGGGCCGCATGATTGCACACCACACGTCACGAATTGCTGAGTAGGTACCATAGGCAGAACAAGCCCCGCGGGATGGTAAGCGTCCTAGGGGGCCAACAGCCAAGCACGCGAGTGCAGCTAGAAAGGACCTGTTCTGGGTGGGAGTGTAGGAAGCTGGGTAGGGAACCCCAAAACCTACATGTCAACAGTAACTACGGTATTGAGCCGCCCCCAGCGTACTAAAGCGACTTCGCGAAAGCCCTGGTGTACGCCCGAAGCTTCTGATCCGGCTAGGTGTTATGTTAGTGGATCACCCCCCTGGGCTCTATAAGATCCCAATACTCTGAGCTTCTGGCAGGAATGAGTCTATCAGTACATTCCCCCTCACTTAAGAGATCTAGGGTCCTTTGAACGTATGAGTCTGCACAAGCCCGACCCGAGATAGCATCCATGGCCAGAGTCGTTCAAGTATTGATGGTAACGCCCGCACTACCGGTGTCATATCCCTCCCAATTTCCCCCCAACTAGGAGGTGATGGTGCGGATGCGGCTCAGAGCGAGTGCTGCCCAGAAGTGCATAAGCTTAGGGGTCCCGCGCAACCAGCTCAGAGCTACGGGGCCGTCCCTCAATGTATTCCCCACATGCCAGTGAAGTCTCGCCAGGACGGACGTGGGTGAAGCACCTGCGTTCCTCCCTGAATCAAATGTCTAGGCCCCTGGCGGGGG